ATTTCTCATTGTAATTTTTTAATTGGTGCAAAGATTTCAGATCTGGAGTCCACCTTCCTTAGTTGGCACCTTCCTGTTTGATAGCACCAAAACCCATGTCTGACAGCTGCCTCTTCATGATACTGATTTTTAGGTGGATTAACCTGTCAACACCTCCATATGGGTAATATGCAACTTGAAAATGTTTTCCCTTTAGCAATATATGCTGCTGTGTGCTGGGGTTGTGCCTGCTGTTTCCATTTTGCCTTCTTATTAAGCATTGCTTCAAGAATATGCTGTTCTTCTGAACAAGAGGAGGCTCTTGGAAGAGAATATATTTAAAAGCACTCAAACAGGTTACATTTTATTTTCAAATTGCAAGTAAGTCCAATTTCTATCTGAATCAGCCAGTCTGTCTCTCCTGAGTTGGTATAAAATACCTCCTTGGAATATTTATAAAATATGCTGTAATCATGTTTGCATTTCTGTAAAAAATTTACAGTACTATTAAATATGTCTGAACTACTTGATGTCTTGGTTTCTTCCCAAGTATAAATATGGAAAACACAAATTTGTATTTAAAAACTAATACTAGTACAGTCAAGGTAATGGATAAAGAAAAAGAATTTGTGTCCGGACTTTTGGAGCTAGATTTTTGTTCTTAAGTGGGCTTAGCTTTTCTTAGCTGCTGGACTTCTGAATGTGCAAAATCTCCTGATGTGTAAATATTCTGTTAGTAGGATTGTGCATGCTTAGTTGTGTGCAAGTGCAAATCCTGACCTCTGTGGATAATTTTAAAGTCTTGTGCATGCAAGTCAGATGTGCAAAAAACTGCATGTTCACTTTTAAAAATCTGACTGTTGAGACCTATATCAAATTCTGCTTAATTTGGATAAGTCACCTAACTTAACCTCTCCACTTCAATTTATCAGTTTGTTTCAATGGTTATACTCCCTTGCTTAAAATTAAAATGGCAAGTTTTTCCGCAAAATCATCTGCTTTTGCGGAAAAATTTGCCAGCTGTCCTACACTGGCCGCTTGAATTTCCGCAAAAGCACTGACTATCTCATGTAAGATTGTCAGTGCTTTTGCGGAAATACTATGCTGTTCCCATTCGGGCAAAAGTCTTTTTCCGAAAAACTTTTGCGCAAAAGGGCCACTGTAGACAGCAGAGATTTGTTTTCCGCAAAAAAGCCCCGATCGCGAAAATGGCAATCGGGGCTTTTTTGCGGAAAAGCGCATCTAGATTGGCCACGGACGCTTTTCCGCAAAAAGTGCTTTTGCAGAAAAGTGTCCTGCCAATCAAGACGCGCTTTTCCGAAAATGCTTTTAACGGATAACTTTTCCGTTAAAAGCATTTCCGGAAAATCATGCCAGTGTAGACATAGCCCATGTGATTAAGTACTTCGCTGGATTGGGGCTATTATGCTATCGCTGCAGGATGTTTTGAGGTTGAACTAATTTATGTAAAAGGCTTCCAAGTCCTGGGATGAAATATTCTATTCAAATAAATATTGTTAGTGTGCATCTTTGCTTGCAAAATAATCTCATCTCACTGATGCAACAGAGTAGCTACTGTCATTGATATCACTTATGTAAACAGGCCTGATTGGAACAGGAAAGCTGAATAAAAACCTATCCTCTTATAAGACATATTTATGTCTCTGATAAGAATGCTTCAACTCACTTTTCAGATTCAGAGGGAAACCTGTGTCAAAACAATCAGCTGCTACAGATAACACTGACCATGCACAGAATTATCATCCCTTCTGAAGATGTACTCCGAAAACTAATTGGTCTATATCCTTTATAATGTTCACCTGTAATTATTAAGGTAAGGTAATGCAGAAATATATAGATAGAATCGTAAGTAAAGTGTATAGGTCAATATTAATAAATTGGTGCATTCATCTCAGCATCTCATGATTACTAAGAGGCTAAATTTAGTGCTTAAGAAAAATCTTACCAGGTTTGTTTTAAAATATAAAGATGTGATCAGTGAACTAAGAGAGAAGGTAGGTGGAGAAGGCTCCCCAGCAGATTACATTGCAATCTCAGACCCCATATTTGTAATTATTTATAAATGGAAAGATCTTCATATTATGCTAACTTAGTCTATATCTGAAAATCATTGAAAGATATGCAGTAAATCTTGGATTATCTTCTCTATACAAATAAATGATCAAAAAATGAAGTGGGTAAATTTTTTTTAAACAATCCCCAGTCTAATTATAGAGTTTTAGAAACTTAAAAGTTTTGTGAAAATCTCTTTCCACAAAATGACTTATCAGACAATCATAAAAAAGATGCTAAGAATATGAATACTGGCACAACTGCTCTCCCTTATCAAGAGAATTCTTAGATATGGAAAATACTACTTAACTCTGTTGGCTTTACTGGATGTTCATAATTAAGAGATTATAACCTAATTAGGGACAAATCTTGAGAGATACCAAGAACTTATGAGTCAGATATTTACTTGGTACAACTTGTTTTATTTAGTACTTTTCCTCCACAACTCTAATTTTTATTGTCTTCCAGTTATCATAGTTGTACAAAACAGACCTGCCATGACAATTAGTAGTCCGACTACACTAGATACCTGCATCATGCAGGAGCCAATATATCAAAGTTATTTTTTGGAATATAGAATAAGTGGCATTTAATTTAGGGTCCTGTATTCCCTCAGATATAACAAGATAGGGAGCCACTATTTACAGTGTAAATCAAGCAAATAGCTAATTTACAGAGGCAGCTTGCTTCCAAGAGTCAAGAAAACAATCCTGCTTTCAATCAATAATAAAAATAGTTATCTACAACTAGGGATGTTAAATATTGGTAAATTGAATAGTCAAGTAACCTCGTGAATTCTTATCAGTCAGTTGACTACAGGCAGTCCCCGAGTTACGCGGATCCGACTTTTCCGCACTTACGAACGGGGCTTTCTCGCCCTGGAGCTCGCAGGCAGCGGGACCGCCCAGAGCGCAGCGGTCCCGCCACCTCTACCT